GAAGCAAAGGCATAAGAGCGCCCCTAGATGTGGAGGGTTTACCTACCTACCTATCTTAGATAGGGTCTTGGAGTCATGGAACCAGGGAAAGGGGCAATGGGAGAAGGGCATCCCTGGTGGTAGGTCTTACCTCACAGTTATTTGTGCACTTGTCTTTCTCCATCAGAATGAAGGATCTTTGAATGAAGATCTTTGTAACCCCTAACACCCAACACAAAACTTTGCACAAAATGGCTCTTAACAAGGTGTTTACTGTTGATCCCAAGTGGCTCTCTATGATAACATCCCAATTCCTAAAGAATATTCTCCAAGTAATGCCATACAGCTGCAAATCAGGAAACACCAAGAAATCAGAAACACCAAAAATGGCAAGTGATTTAAAGGGCAATGGAAATCTGAATGGTGGATGTAAGTAGGTTGCAGCCTATTACCAACAATAACATGTCTGTGAAGAGTGTCATAAAAGACATTAATGAGGATATGTATGACCAGAGAAGTTAGGGCCAATATCTCTGAATTTTAAAGAACCAGAGGAAGGCCTCCATTTCACTGGGCAGATCTTCCTGAAGGATTTTTAGGAAAGACAATAGATAAGCATAAAAATACAGGAAGAGACAACATGGAAGGACTGATTTCTACCTAGTGGAGAAAGTTTGCAACTATCAATGAGATCACAGATGTGAGTAACTCAGCATAAATATTGCCCTAGGAATCACATAATTCAAAACCATTTCACCTTTTATATTCCCGACTAAATTGCTTTCAAAAAGTCTTATATAAATGAAGATTGAACTAGAGTACAGAGAGCAATGTAGTAGAAAGAGTAATGGATTTGTAGCCAGAAGTCTCAGGTTCAAATTCTGGCTCTCTTTCTTACTGCCTGTATCACCTTGGAGAAGTCACCCTCTCCAGGCTTTCAGTGTCCTCATCTGTATAATGAGGGGAATTGGGTCTCCAATGCCCTTTTCTGTTCTAAATTCTATGACCCTCTGGTCCAAAATTCTTCAGTAATGGTGCAGAACAAAGGGAGAGAGATCCAGCAACCACAAGGCAATTCCTCCGACAGCATGGAAAAGCAGCAGAAAGAACACTGGCCCTGGAGTCAAGAGACTGGGCTTCAGCTCTCAGCTGAATCACTGACTAGCTGAACAGCCTTAGGCAAGCTGCTTCATCTCTCTTGGTCTCAGTTTCCTCATCTATAAAATAAAGAAGTGGCATGGTTGCTTTTTTTAATCATCCCTTCCAGCTCTGAATTCTTTTTTTTTCCAGCTCTGGAATTCTATGAGTCCATGAATCTCTCATAAACCTTCCAAAAGTCAGTTCTCTGAAACAATAGGGTTCCGGGATCCATTCCCTTACCTTCCAAACTCTAGCAATGAAGCCACACGTAAAAAAAATGTGGAGAGGAATTAAGTGGAAACACCCTTACTAAATTCCCCGGAGAGTTAATTATTGAATATCTTACATTTAGGACCCTAAATTGGGATGACACATTCAGTGACAAATGTAATTCACACAATGAAGGAAAAAAATCACCTCCCTTTTGGCCAGAGATGTTTGCAGGCATGTTTTCTGAGCTCATTTCCAGTCTCTGGGCAAGTCATTTTTCCCCCACTGCTGAGCTCATGGACCTCACAGAGCCAGCGGGACCTGCAGGATGTCTCTGGCAGTAACGTAGCTAAGCAGTCCAAGCCCCCAATGGAGCAATTTGGTGACTATGGCAGCTGAGTAGGCCAGAGCTTCCTGCCGCCACAGGGCTGCTGCATGAACTACCACTGCTTGGTAGATAAAATCCAATTGATTGCCACTTACATAAACGTAACAGGAAGTTTCTAAATGGCTTCCACCGAGTCTTGAGGCTGTTACCTTTCCGTTTCTAAACTAACAGCTGGAATGAACACAAACAGCACCTCATCAGAGCCGCTAAGTGAAGCGGCAATGGTCCAAAGGTACACAGGAAAATTCCTGTCAATCTTGAGAATATTTCACATTATGAGTCCCTTTCTGCATAAATATTAAACAGCTGGAATAGCCATTAGAAAATATGTAAGTCCTGCATAGTGTAACACCAATGCAGCCAGAGGAAGATTTGTAAGCAAAAAAAAAAAGTGTCATGTGCTTTGATTAAGATTTACTTGTGTAAATTTTGAGCAACGATACTTTACTGGACTTTACAGACTTGTTTTGCGTTGCTCTGCCACTAAACATCTGGTAAAATATTCAGAATCTCTGTAAAATAGGTCATCTCTCCAAACTCGTTAGGCCTAGTGCTTGCAATGCTGAAAGAGCCCTGGCCCACAAGAAATCCTCCCAAGGGAAGCTTTTCAGAGGCAAACAGGTTTTCTCCACTCTTTGTGAGATTGGCTCTTGGTAGGGGGCAGTGGGGGAGAGTCCTTATTCTTTCTTCCCCTTCTAGGAGGAAGTGTCATGTGTGATCTGAACAGCAGGCTTTTGCTTATACTTCCAAATCTATTAGGAAATGAATATAACAAGAAAAACCAATACTGACAAGAATTAGGCCATTGCTATATTTCATCTGTTTAGTAACCTGAAGTTGCAATTTTTAGAAAAAGATCACCTTTTAAATAACAGATTCATTATACTACATGGATGAATGCCATGTTTTTGGGTTAGGAGTGTCACTCAGCATTAATGGAAAGCACTCATAAATAATAATAATAATAATAGCTCCCATTTATACAGCACTTTAAGATTTCCTTCATGAAAGTCCTACTCTGATGCCTCAGCATAGGGTGGAAGAGACTGTGGGCTCTCTCCTGTTGAATTCCTCTGCCTACCATCTAAAGCCCAATCCAAATGACCCCTCTGCTATGAAGGCTTCCCTGAGCCCCTGTCCATAAAGATCTTCCCCTTTAAACTTCACATGACACTTTGTTTCTCACATATCTAATGCAATTATAGGATGCTGTGTATAACATTTCATATTTCTATCTTACTGTCCTCAGTCGTCTCCCACCAACTTGGACTGAAAGCTCCATGAGGACAGGGACTATTACATCTTCTTATCTCCCTTAGAACAGTGCTCTCTACAGGAGAGGCACTTTTAAAAATGTTCACTGAATAACTAAATGAATGAATGAATGCCAGGAAGAGCATAAGCTCTAGCAAGTCATGCAACGCTAAAGGTGGTCCTAGAAACAGACTGTATTGTTTCTTGTCCTAGGACCAACCTTGCTGAGTGAGGAGAGGTTCATTATTAGAAGGTTGGTCATAAGAAAAACACAAAATGGCCTTCAGTCTTGGCCATCTCCCTCATGCTTTAGCAGAGAGAGGAACGTAATGATTGAAAAAGGGGCAGAGGATGAATCACACAGCACTTAGACCATGTATCAGCATTAATTTGACTACTGATGCCCAGGGTATGATCTCTGGATTGAAACACAGTCATATTGACATAAATGAAACCAGAAGACATGAAGCTACTGTTTGATGGAAAGGCAACTTTGAAGTCTACAAACCACTTTTTCCACAACAACACTGTGAGGGTGGAGGTGTAAGAATTATTATCCCCATCTGACATACAGAGTCTTACAGTCTTAGAGTGGGGAAGTGGCTTGGCCAGTGGTCCCAGCCAGAAAGTGTCAAAGCTGAGATCACAGCCATGTCTTTGGATCTGTATGTCTGGTGCTGTTTCTACTCCATTATACGTTTCACACTTCCTTGGATCTCTATGCAGCCTCCACCAAATGGATAGTGTAATGTAATCAGAGGTTATTTGTGGACCTCCTTTGAATGGCACAGACCCCTAACTCTGCCATGCATGGAATGAAATTCATTTCTACACCATGGTTAAATGAGTTTTTCCAATTTGATATTTTACATCCAGAACACTGGTGCTGACAACATTTTTGCCAAAGCCAAGCTGCATTTTCTCAGTTGGAAGGTTCTTAAGGAGCTCCTACAGCCCACAGAGAATCCCAGAATCTGTGAGGCTGGACGGGGCCATGGAAGCCATTTAATCCAACCTATTCCTAAAGCAGAAATCCTTTCTGCAAACTGTGGGCAATAGTCACCCAATCTTTGCCCGAGGACCTTCAATGATGGAGGACATACTACCTGCAGAGGCAGCTTACTTTCCTTCAAGAAAACTGTAATTGTTAGAACGTTTTCCTTAAATCGAACCCAACTATGTCCCCTGGTATATTCCACTGATTGCTCCTACATATGCCCTTGAGGACCAGTGGACAACACATTGGATTTGGAGTTGGACTAATCTTTGCAGTCTCTAAATCTTATAATTCTACACCTAATTAATTTTTTCAAGTAACAGCTTTTCAGATAACTGAAGAAAGTGATCTTCTCTCTCATTTTACAAAGGACACTGAGATCCCAAAGTCACACCATTAGTATGAAAAAGTACACCCTCTTCATATGTATTATCAATGGAAGTAAGGAATGTGACTTTCAGAAAAAAGAGGGTTAAAATGCCTAAACTTATCATGAAAGAGTGAACAAATGAAGACTTTTCCTTCTTCCAGCCCACAGCTCCTGTTCACCAATTACACATACTCCATCATTAGGGTCCCCCTGAGAAATCTGCCTGGTATTGGTTAACCGAACACAGCGGTAACAATAAATCACAACTTCCCAGTGAAATTTAAGGATTATAAGCATATGGCTTTTTGTCATCATTTTACAAACATTTTTAGAGTGTATAATGTTTATCTGGAAATATTCTAAGGGCAAGATAAGAAAATAGTGAAGGTCGCTGTGCAGTAGCGGCAGATCCAAGTTCAAAGCCCTGGTCTGACATTTACTAGTAACATGACTTTTGGCAAATACCTTCATTTCCCTGAACCTCAACTTCTTGATCAATTAAGAAAAGCACCAGAGAAATTTATCATCATCATTATTATTACTATTAGTGTAGAGAATTACCAAAAGAGAAAAACACAGAAAGAGAAACCGAGATAGACACAAATAAAGTGACATATATAATGTAGAATAAGGGACCGCCTTTAACTGAAGTTTCAACATACCTGATATCGCATACAAATTTGAGTGCTGGTACTCATAGTCAGTTCGTGTACTGTTCCTGCCTCTGAAGGTAGCAGGAAGTGTTAAGGAGATATGCCTGAGGATAAGACAGAAGGATAAAAAGGAAAGGTTATGAGATTCATATACTCTTATATTTTAATATTTAATCCAGGTGTCAAATGGCAACCTATAACAACTGGTCACTTGTTCTCTAGTCTCTGTCTAGTTCTCATGCATGCTCTATGGTACTGCCAGTTTGGTTTTTCTGTACAGGCTATGGTCATATCACTTCTTATCCTGCCACTCCTCTCCCCAGCCCCTCTGCACAAAACCCATCAATGACTGCTAAAACTTCAAGGTTTATCAAACACCTTAGCTTGGAATGCAAGGTGCCTTGTGAGAGAGCTTCAGTCTTCTTTTGTAGCCTTATTTCACACTGTTCCCAGGCACACCTTCTACGTTCCAACTAAAATGAGGAGCTAGTTCAACATCCCAAGTATTCTTCACCTTTGTTTCTCTACATCTGAAATGTCTTTCTTTGCCTACTGATTCTGGTCCACCCTCCAAGGTGAGCTCAAACTCCATGGAATTGTAATAAATATTTGTTGTCTTAAATTTGTCTGTCCAGTTGGAAATTATTTCTGACCCCATTTTGTTTTCTCCTTTGTATCTCTGCACGTATATCTACCCCCAATCCCAACTAGCTTCAAAATTCCTTGAGGGAAGTTTCGTTTATCTCTGTATTTCCTCCAGTGTGCAGTATGGCATATTGAACAGATCTTAATAATGCTTAATAAATGTTTGTTGAATGAATAAGTCAATGATAGTAAAAAGGTACCATATCATAGCAATGATCTATGTGGGAGGGAGACAATGGGGTGTAATGCAGAAAGCAGAGAACTAGACAATGGGACGCTTAAGCTCTAGTCCCAGTTTTGCCAGTAACTAATTGTGTAACCTCAGGCAAATTACTTAAGTTCTGTGGTCCTCAGTTTCTTTATCTGTAAAATAAGGGAGTTGTACTAGATAATACCGAAAGTCTCTTCCAATAGAAAGATTCTATGATTGTTGTGTTTACAGAATATATCCCATGGGAGGCTCAGCACTCCACAGTCGTGAATAACCCCAAAAGTCTCACTGCTTCCCAGGGAAAAAAGGAATTGGCATGTGTCATTTTTCTACCTTTTTCCCATTTGGAAAAAGAAACCCCAGGAGAAAGGACAGTTTTGCTTCTTAGGATCTCACAGATGGGGCATCTAGTCAACTGACCTTACCAAAACATAGGCAACTAGACACAACAGAGCAGCAATCCTTATGCTGGAGTCTATAGAACCTCTAGGGTATCCATAGACAGATTTCAGGAGATCCATGAACTTGGATGTGGAAAAAAAATCTTTATTTTCACTAGTATCTAATTGAAATTTAGCATTTACTTGAATTATGAATATAAGCAACAAACATTATTCTGAGAAGGGATCTATAGGCACCAGACTACCAAAGGGATCCATGGCATGTAACAGGTTAAGAACCCCTTCAGTAGAGACAGGCATTGTTGTATAGTGGAAAGAATACTGGGATTGGATTTGGGAGACAGTTCTGACACTTACCTGAAACCTATTAACCACAGACAAGGCATTTCACTGTGCTGAGCCACGATATCCTCATCTGTCAAGTGAGGATGATACTCCCCACCTCACAGATTTATTGTGAGGAAAAACCCTTTGAAAACATTAAAGTGCTATGGAAGTGTATGTTATTATTATTAACACACACACAACTATAAAGAGAGACAGAGAGACACTATATTTAACCAGAAAGCAATTTAGGAATCTCAATGAATGGCCAAAGGCAAGAAAGCATTTTCTTTGCCCCATGTTTACAGTGAGGTTCTAAGCATAGAGAGCATGTCAGAAAATTCTCACCCTCCAAAAAGGTTGTATTCTGTGTGACAGACACAGACCTTTGAACAAAACAATTTTTGGAAGACCTGCGGCAGTGTGTAAACTAAAGATGCTGATGATGTAAAAGCCTATTAGAACAGTAAACAAATTATGCAAACCAAGTTACCATGCCCAGCACAGTGCCTAACCTATTAAAGACAATCAATCAATATTTATTGAATCTGTGTGAAACTGAGTTACATAGAACACTAGTTTAAAAAATTTTTTTCCTTAGCTGTAAAATGAGGGCATTGAACTAGGTGATCTCCAAGGATCTTCACAGATCATAAATCTATGATCTTATGATCCTAAGTTAAATAGTTAGTTGGGGAGAGAATGCAGGGAGAGAGACACCTTTGGGAGGAAAAGAGTAAAGCAGAAAAATACCTCCTTGTGACTGGGGGGAAAGCCAGCACACAGTGGGGTTACTAGCAAGATGGCCAATGTATCTTATTCTTTTCTTTCTCTTTTGCCATTTGTAGAAGAGGAAAGCCAGGATATTGAGAAGATGGAAGCTGACAAAGCCTTCCCTTTGAAGAGAATAGTCTAGACAGAAGAAAAGATAATCTGTAGCTAAAAAAAGTCAAGCCTGAGAAAGAAGCAGAGAAGTATGTCCATCCCAAACTTGCCTGATGGCAAGGCTTTCAATTTTGAACTAAGATTCAAGGAGACATTACAGATTGGTAAGAAAGGTATTGATTATGTACCTGAGAAATTTATTTCTTTAAAAAACTGGTCTAAACCACACCTGTGGGATGAAAATTGAGATTACTTAACAGAAGGAATTTCTCAACTTGAAGACCCTGCAAAGGATTCCAATATAGGCTGCCTTCTGTTTTGAGGGAATTTAACTCATTCTGTTCCTCTCAAAAGCTGCTCTTCCCCTTACCTGTCTGTTTCTATGAGGGGTACCACTATGCTTTCAGTTACCCAAGCACAAAACTTTGGAATCACAAATGACTCATCCCTCTTCCCAACACATCTCACCATTTGTCAAGTACTGTCAAGTTTACCTCTACTATTTCTCACACCTGTCTCTTTCCTTACACCTTTATGGCCACCATCACAGCAAGTTCTCCTTATCTCTTGTTTTTTGACCACTGTAACAAGAGACAGCTAGGTAATGAAGTGGAGTCTAGAAGACTTGATTTTGAATGCGTCCTACTTCAGATACATACTAGCTATGTGACCCTTGGCAAGTCACTTAATCTCTCTCCACCTCAGTTTCCTCATCTGTAAAATGGGAGCTAATAATAGTACTTCACCTTACAGGGTTATTGTGAAGAATGAGATAACATGTGTAAACTAATTAATTAATTAATTTGCACATACGAGCTATTTTAACAGCCTCCCAATTGGTCTGTTTGCCTCCAGTCTATTTCCTCTCTAATTTATCATTCACACTATTGCTCTAGTAAATGTTCTAACTCCGAATATAACATTTGTCTACTCAAACACTTTCGATGGATCCCCAGTGCCTCCATGATAGAGTATGAATTCTTTATTCTGTCTACTACTTGGCATCAACTAACCTTTCCAGTCTGATGTCAAATTACTATCCTTCACACATAATACCCCATTCGTGCCCTGCCTTCTCCCATGTCTGTGACTTTGCCTATGATGCACACACCTCACCCCCAACCCATGACTGGAATGGCTTTCCCATCCCTGCCTGTTAAAATCTTCCCCTTTCTTCAAGGCCCAGATTGCATGTCACCTCTTTCATAAAGTTCTTCTTTATCACTCCATCTAAAAGTTATCCCTCTCACCTCAAATTTCCTATTTATTTAGATCTCACTCTAACACATTCTCCCTTGTATCACATTATCATAGTGTGTGTGTGTGTGTGTGTGTGTGTGTGTGCGTGTGTGTGTGTGTGTGTGTACATCTTCTTTACTAAATAGTCAGCTCCTCACAGACAGGACCTGTGGTATAATGAAGAAGGAGCTGCCCTCAGAGTCAGGACAGACCTATATTCAAACTTTGCCTCAAACACTTGAGAGATGAATGAACATGGGCAAGCAGCTTAACCTGTTTGAGCTTCAAATTTTTTACCAATAAGATGGAGATGACAATACCTATAATAATGCAGTGAAGATAAAATAAGGCAAATTTTAAAGTGTAGTATTATTATTTCATCTTTGATATCCCTAGTTCTGATAACAGTATCCTGTATAAGGTCAATATATAATAAACATTTGGGGAACTGAATTTCATTTAAAACAAAAAAGTAAAATGACCCTTTTAAAGTCTCTATCTTAAGCACTTTCCTGGTAATGTCAATCATTGCCACAGTTTCTACATAGGTGATTCCTAATGCTCCATATCCAGCCCCAACCTCTCTCCTGAGCACCCATCTTTCACTAACAGTCACTTGCAGGATATTTCCTTCTGGATATGCCCAGACATCCTAAACTCAACACATTCAAAACAGGGCACTCACTGTCTCACTCTCAGTCACTCAGTTTCATAACTTCAGAGTTGCCCTTCATTCTTCCCTCACTCACCCCTTATATCCAATCACTCACCAAGTCTAGTCAAGTCGACATCCGCAAAATCTCTACTAGCACTGCATCTGAGGCTGCTGTACTTCTGTCCCTCATCACTTTCTTGAATGGAATACTATAGTAGTTTCCTAATTGGACTCCCTACCTCTAGTCTCTCCCTTCTCTGATTCATCTTCCCTACAGCTACCAAAATCATCTCACTAAGTTATAGGTTGAACAAGATTCTCTCTGTTATATTTTTCAAGGAATATTAAAACTGTGCTCCTAGATACCGAGTCAAACACGTAAGATGGAGACATGTTCACCAGAGTCGTTTGCGACTGACATAGTAGAGAGCCAATGCTGCAGAGAAGAGGAAGAAGAATCCTCTATGGTTGGTGGGATCTTCCAGATGTTCCTCTTTGCCAGTGACATTGCGCTGGTTGCATCAAGCCCCAGATCATAACAAAACATTCTATAAGATATCCATGACCACTCAAAAAGAGTTTAGCCTAATCATCTACGCAGAAAAAATCAGGTCAATGAAAAATGTCTGTTGTCTAGATTATGACATGTAGAGAGACAAACCACATAGTTTGTCCATAAATATATATGTCTGGGACAAAGAGAAAAAAGAATAATGAGTCAGACCCAGAATTAAACAGAAGGAT